TTTTGTCCAAATATTGTGTCAAATTTCTTGAATATTTTGTTCGTTACGAAAGAATATTTATTCGATGTTGATGAAACTTTGCTATAATATACTTTCACATCTCCTCTTTTGAATAGCATACCCGCCCATTCCCGACCCCCCTTACAAGGGGGCTAAAAATATGGCATTTCGAAATGACCCAGAAATTTTTATGTTCTAGTCACGTGATTTGAATAAATTTTTTAGATAAAATATTTGATATATGGGACATCATTTTACCGTTTACAGATTTGAGCTAGCTCATCCCGTTTGGGAGATATTACAAATTTACATTGGAAGAAACATATTGGCCGCCTAGATAATATATCGATATGCAAATAATTTATTGACAAACATATAAGAAGGCGTTCAGAAAAAAATGTCCATAATGGCCATAACTTAAAAACGAATGAAGTTAATTTGATTCTGTCTTCGGATTATAATAACACTAACCCATGTCCACATCTCACATAAAATTTATCAGAATTGATTAACATTAAAAGTATATATTTTCAAAAAAACTGAGAAAAAAATTGCTCAAAAAATTTATTGGTATAGGAAAACTTTTTTCCTGATTGATAAAAGTCACAAGTGTTAATATAATTATGATAGCTACACATTTCATCTATAATCTCAATTAAAATTTTCATCTCAGCAAGCTCTACTTTTTTTATAATAAGGCGTAGAACCAAGACACATATAGGCCAAATTTAACTTTGTTAATTATATTAATGAGCTTTTTTAGAAAAAAAATTTCTCGCACAGACACTGCACTCCATTGTCATTGTAAAAAGATCATTGAAAAAATTCCAAAGTTTAATTTGGTTTATAAATGCATTGGTTTTATCTTTAATTAAAAAATAATCAGAAATTTCAGAGGTAAAATTATATGTTTAAATTTTAGAGGAGATGTGTAGCTATCATTATTACATAGACACTTATGACTTTTATCAATCAGGAAAAAAGTTTTCCTATACCATTAAATTTTTTGAGCAATTTTTTTCTTAGTTTTTTTGAATATAAATACTCTTAATGTTAATCAATCCTGATAAATTTTATGTGAGATGTGGACATGGGTTAGTGTTATTATAATCCGAAGACAGAATCAAATTATCTCGAATCGTTTTTAAGTTATGGACGAAATGGACATTTAATTCTGAACGCCTTGTTAGTATTTATACGAATCAAAAATAATGAATAAAATTTCTCGCCAAAATGAAATATATTAATAAATCTATTATTTATATCATCTATAAAATAATTTTTGTTGCTAACAGGATATGCAATTAATTACAATTAAACGAAATTGATTTGCTAATATGTATTTGATAAACTTACAAAGGTTAAGTGCTATTTATTAAACTATATGATAATTTTTTAAAAAGTAATCTTGATAATAAATTTATTGTTTAATGTTATTGTAAAAGTAATTTTTATTCAATTGATATTTAAGTCTTTTATTAATAACAATCATTTAATAAAATGAGTTAATCTACAATAACAAATTGAGTGTTTTGTTTACAGTATAATATTTTGTAAATTTATCTTATTAAAATCTCTATTATTTAATGAATGAAAACAACAAATAATTATAATCTACATTCAATTAATTAATTTATCATAACAAAAAGCAACAAAACTTTATTAATTAAATCAATAAACATTTTCCATATAATCTAAAGTTACATGATACATTTAAATATGCGCACCGCCTGATTACGTGGGCGCACTTCATCTACCACTTCAAAAAAACCTTAATGAATTAACATTACCCGTCTTACTATCGCCACCCATGTTGAATTTAATATTTAATAATGCAATTAAAATAAGCAACATTGTAATATTACATGATACGTTTAAATAGTCGCATGGCTTAATTCCGAGTGCGAACCTCACCGCCCGTGGCGTAAAATCTATGATAATATCTTAACTCCGCATCACCTTTCCATCAAGGTCCTGACCAAATGCATTTGCTCCATTCGCCCGGTATTATGTTTGCTGTTAGACTGACCAGATGAGTTTATGACAATCCTGGATTTTGGGCAAAAATCAGCCTTATTATCCTGGATTCCTGGACATTTTACTAATTTTAGCTATATTATCCTGGACGCCTCCATAGACTTAATGTTTAAAATATTTTTAAAATTCTGGACAGGCCATCTAATTCCGGGACAATCCAGGCCATTTCTGGACATCTGGTCAGTCTATTTGCTGTGTCTGCTTCCAATTGATCAAAATGATTCAAATTTAAGTTACAAACTTTTTTCACCGCCGTCAATCGAGGTGCATTTTCAATTTGAACACCTGTGCCAAACGCTAGGCTACCGTTCTTTTCGGCCCGGAAATACTGACCCGCGTATTGACCCGTCGAGTCCGACCACGTGTACTAAGGCCATAGTGTTTTTATAGAATTAAAATTATTAGTTTAATTACATTTCATTGTGGTCTCATACTGTATTACGGCTACCAATTGAGCTTTTAAATGTTTGAGCTTAATTTTTATATTCCTATTTGTATTAATATACAATTTATTACATATGGTAATAATCAAATTTTGTATTTCATTTAAACTATAATTAATTGTTTGCTAAAAACACTATTTTTATAATAATCAATAAAGAAATCAATTTATAAACATGGCTTTGTTTTTTATTTGATGTGTGATTGTAATTTATTATGTTTATTTTTGATAAACTTCTATTTATTACATCGAATTAGCATATTCTAATTTATTATTAATTTATTGAGAGAGAGAGAGAGAGAGAGAGAGAGAGATTCAAGTAATAAAATATTTAACAATAACTAAAATTACAATTAAAATACAGAGTGTTTATCGGTGGTGGACAAAAGTAATTCGCCTCCCATTTCAAAACCCCTTGGGCGATTTTAATGAAATTAAGTTTATTTTAAAGATTAAATGTGGGAAATTAATGTATAATAGATTCAAAGTGGCCACCACCCTTGGTGACCATATGGTAAAGCCGTTTCGGAAAATTATCAATTGCACGTTCAATCTTATTGATTGCTATGCCTTTAATGATATCCAAAATTGAATTTTTGAGTTCAGCGTTTGTCTGTGGATTGGAGTGAAACACTTGGTCTTTTAAATCACCCCTGGGAACCACTACTTGGTCACTTGGACAAATTTAGTCAGAGGTCAACATTAAATATTGTCCAGTCATAAGCAACATTACAATTTATTAATTTAGAAGTTTATAACTTTAAAACTTTGAAAAACGCATTCCTTTAAATCTTGTTTAAAAATCTGGCCATACTACGTTATTTTTACCGTATAACTTTACAAAATAATTTTCCCGCATTTGCTTGAAAAATTAAACTTAATTTCATTAAAATCGCCCAAGGGGTTTTAAAATGGGAGGCGAATTACTTTTGTCCACCACCGATAAACACTCTGTATTTATCGATAATCTTTACATGTGGTCTAAAATGCAAACTTATAAATGAAAATAGTATTAAATTAGTTTACAAATTTCATTAATTTATTTAATTAATGACAATTCCATCTGAAATTACACATTTAATGAATAAAAATATCTAATTACAATATCACACTGCTATACACTTTACACGTTCATAGTTTTGCATACAAAAAATAATGCAATTTTAGCAAATCATGAATGTTAGCGCTAAAATCACTAGAAAATCACCATGGGACAACTCAAATTGGATTCAAAAGCTAATATTATTGTGAGTACATAATCTTATTTTTGAATAGTTTACTTACTTTTGACATGTTAACTTTTATCAAAACAGATGTGATTTGTACTCATATACAGTATTACTTTAATTAGACTCTTAATATTGATAATTAAGTATTACTTATTGACAATAAGTGATTGGTAATCACATTGTATTAGATTGTTATATGATTATTATATTTCGCATTCTTTTCATGTAATTTATTAATTATGGATTAATAAGAAGCATGAAAATATACACATTTAAATGAATTAATTATTTATTATAATTTTATCACCTAGATGGATATATCCATTATTTATAAAGGGTATACGAAATAATGGTTTAGATTTTGATGACATGTATCGGTGCTCGCAATACGACACCTCCCAGTATTTGGTGGAATGTTTAGAGAAGTTAATCTTATTTAACACTTGTTGAACTAAGTAAAGTTATTTAGCAAAGTAACTTTATATATGCTAGTTTTTAAAATACTGCTTTTAAACCATGTTTTGTTGCTTTACCTGTGAATGGTGTTCACTATTATGGGACAGAACATGATTCAGGATCAGTAGTTTAACGCCTAGCAGGAACACTTAGTTCATCATGTCTAAATTTTTTATTATTTTCTAATTAGCATGTTATCGTATAGAATTCAAAAATTATAATTATAATCATGATAATTATGTTTTAAATAACATTATATTTATGTAGAAATTGGGACATTGAGCTGAAAAAACAAACACCTAGATTGTATATCGCTTTATTTAATACGTTTGCCAAATATAATATTTTACCATTCATATTCCTTTTATTTGTTGTAAGTTATAAATATATTCCTTTATAAAATATTATAATTGTAACGATATAAACTTTAAATAATTAATATTTATGCATGATAGGAGTGTGTGGTTCGTATGACACAGTCTATATTACTCGGTTATGTTATTGATTATTTTGGTGGCGGTGACTTAATACAATATGACCATGCTTGTCTGGCGGCCGGCGGTGTTTGTTTATGCGTTATGTTAACCACTGTTATGGATAATAGCAGCAGGGTACGTTTAAGCCAACTGGGAATGCGCGCTCGCAGTGCCTGTTGTACTCTAATGTATAAAAAGGTTAGTACCATTGTACCATAGTACCATGAACAAAATCACCATAATTCAATTAAAATTGTCAATGTTAAAAATAGTCACTCAAACTGAATCAGTTATCAATGGAAAAGACAACTGTGGGCCAGATTATAAATTTAATGTCTAACGATGTAAATCGATTTGATAGGGTATATAAAGTTACTATAGTTACTCTAATCTACCAAGTTGATTAATTTGTTAATTATTTAAATTTAGTTTGCAATATTCTGCAATTATTTAATCATTGCTCCAATTCAGTCTGGCATCATCATATATATAATGTACACTTATATAGGATGGGCAGGCTTTGTGCCTGTTGCATTACTAGTTTTATTTGTTATATTTCAATTTTTCATGAGCAAAATGTTTTCAAAAGTCAGGCATGTGCATGTTTATACATTATATTATTTATTTGTACATTAAACATTTTTTATCTAGATTAATGACCGCAAAGCTCACTGACAGTAGGCTTCAGCACATGGTTGAGATCATATCAAGTATGCGTATCGTTAAAATGTATTCCTGGGAACAGTCTTTCGCAGACCACGTGGCGGAGGCACGAAAGTAAATGACCATAATTATTTATGACAATTTATCGATTATTGTTATACCTTAATATTTTATTTCAATATAATTTCCAAATGCAATTAGACAGGAAGTTTCGTGTATACAGAGATCTTGCTTTCTGAAGGCAATCAATATATCGCTGTATAGTTTGGTACCTAGGTTAATGGTATTTTTATGTTTTACTACCTTGATACTCACCGGTGGAGTACTGTACGCTAAAGCTGTATTTGTATCAATGATGCTTGTTACCTCCATAAGAGCAAATATGACCAGGTACTTCCCAGAGTCAATTACATTAGGCGCCGAGTTATTAGTTTCGTGTAATAGAATTCAAGTAATATTGACCATAATGTAAAATTTTTTAAAATATAAACATTTAAGTAATATTCTTTATAGAAATTTTTGCAATTAGGAGAAACACAAATAAAATCCATTCAAAACCAAAATAACTTATTTAAAAGTAAAACAGATGGCAAACAATTGCCCGAAGTATCCATTAATAACATAACAGCCAAATGGAGTGATGTATGAAATTATATTTTATTTGTTATTAATATTATATATTATATACAGTGCAACCTCTCTTGGGGAAACTTCTCTTGGGGAAACACCTCCTTTGGAGAAACGGATTTGAAATATATTTTGGAGTTTCTATACCTATAACAGAACCTCCCTTGAAGAAACACTCTCTATAAGAAACACTTTGGCTATGCATCTGCCCGTTTCTTATGGAGAGGTTGCACTGTACTATTAATATTAATATAAAGTTATTTGTTATTAATTGTAATTAATAATTATGATTAATATTACTATTGATAGGAAAGCCCGTGTCTAACGCTTGAGAATATTTCGGTACATTTAAAAGCCGGCGATTTATTGGCTGTTATCGGACCGGTGGGGGCGGGAAAGGTATGCATATTATTGGATACATTACGATAAATTAAGAAATAATAAACTAAAATTATAATTATAATTCAATATTTAGAGCTCACTCTTAATGACAATTCTGAATGAACTGCCGGTTCTGTCGGGAAGTATAGAAACGGTGGGAACGATGAGCTACGCCTCGCAGGAGTCGTGGAGTTTTAACACTAGTGTCCGAAATAATATACTTTTTGGAGCCGAATATAACAAAACCCGATATAAGCGAGTGGTAGAGGTGTGCGCTTTGGTGCGGGACTTTGAGAGATTCCCGTTCGGAGACAAATCATTAGTCGGTGAGAGAGGAGTACAGCTGTCTGGCGGACAGAAAGCCCGCGTAACGTTAGCCAGGTTTGTGTGCATTTTATTATTCGCTATTCTGTTAGGATTGCTAAATAATATTATTAAAATTTTGTAGAAATGTGACAAAATTGTCAAAAATCCCTGTATTCTACTGTATTAAAGCTTATTTTTGTATTATGTAAAAATTACTGTATAATAAAGGAAATTTTTGTATGTTTGGCAACACTATATACTGGTATAATAATGTATAGCTTTGTGTGTTATGTAGAGCTCTGTACCAAAACTCGGATATCGTATTAATGGACGACCCGTTGAGTGCTGTCGACCCGTGTGTTGCCGAACATATATTTGATAAGTAATGCAATGATTGTTATAATAATTATTGGTAATGATTTATTACAAATAAGTCTAACAAATAATGTATTTCGCGAAATAACAAACACCAGATGTATAGTCGACTACTTGTGCGACAAAATCCGTATTCTAGTCACACATCAAATCCAATTCATACGAAAAGCGACACAAATATTGGTTTTGAACGACGAGGGAAAGTGTCTGGGATTGGGATCCTATGATGAGCTCCAGTCCCGGGGCTTAGACTTCATGTCTATTCTCAGCGATCAGGAGAAGGAAGTCGACGATAAGGCAGAACAAAATATGGAAGACACATATGACAGTAAAATAAATGCCCAGGGCACTTTAGTTGCCGAGAATTTGACACAAAATGTAACTAATTTTAATAATTCAGTAAATATATTATTATAATATATGACAAAATTGTCAAAAATCCCTGTATTCTACTGTATTAAAGCTTATTTTTGTATTATGTAAAAATTACTGTATAATAAAGGAAATTTTTGTATGTTTGGCAACACTATATACTGGTATAATAATGTAAAGGCAGAACAAAATATGGAAGACACATATGACAGTAAAATAAATGCCCAGGGCACTTTAGTTGCCGAGAATTTGACACAAAATGTAACTAATTTTAATAATTCAGTAAATATATTATTATAATATAATAATAAGTATTATTTTATAAAGAATGCAGAGAACGTTATGAAACCAAAAATAATTGACGAAGGCCGGGAAACCGGTTCAATATCCTGGAATGTATATTGCACATTTATCAAGGCGGGCGATGGACCCTTGCTGTTTTCCATTACGATTCTATTTACAATTATTGCTCAGGCTATTATGCACGGATCGGACTATTTTTTAGCTCAATGGTTTATTTTTTAAAAATAACTTACTATGTTTACTTACTTTTTTACCTTACATACAAATAATCCATTTTTACAACAGGACTGACAAAAATCAAAACACAAATAACATTACCACTTCTGAGCAGAACAGAGATGTGTTAATCTACTCCTCACTGATGGTCGCGCTTTTCATCGCATCCCTATTGAGAGCCATCACATGGTTTGTGATGTTTATGAGGGCTTCAGTTAATCTCCACAACACTATATTCTATCGTCTATTACGGGCCCCGATGTCTGTGTTTGAAAATAACCCAGTTGGTTTGTTATTTTAATCATTAATTAGACCATTAACTAATGTTAACTATAATTAATAGGTCAAATTTTAAATCGCTTTTCAAAAGATCTTGGTACAGTCGATGAGCAATTACCAACTACAGCGCTTGAATTAAACTTGGTAATTCATTATTTTGCATAAAAATAAGTTCCATCTTTTTAAAATTAATTATCTTTATATATAATAATTATTTTTTAGAGTTTGACTCAAGGTGTCGGCGGAATAATAATAATCACGATTGTCAATCCATATATGATTATACCATCATTCATTTTAATTGTAGTGGTATTGGCAGCTAGGGCTGTTTACATCAAGTCAGCTAGGGACATTAAACGGGCCGAAGGTTTAAGTAAGTTTTAATAGGGATGTGCATTAAATTTATAAACATTTTTAATGTTATTGTTAGCATACATTCAACGATGTCATTTTAGAAATATAAAACTAAGTGAACACACCAGTGCTATATGTTAACCACGGTAGTGTTCAAAAATAAATTACTACTGTACTATGCATTACTATTAACCTATAAATTTAATATTAATCCCACGGAATTCACATTATCCATAAACATAACATTGTCATAAACTTATCATTAGCCGTTACTTTGTCTATAGAAGTGGCATTAGTCTCACAAACCTAACAATATCTATAGTAGGAATGTGCTCAGGAGAGCTTTAAGAGAGTTTTACTATGTAAACTTGCATGAGTTTACATAGAGTCATAGTTGTTTGGCACATTTTTAATCTATAGGATTGGCATTAGCGAAGTGTGGAGGGATGGGTTAGTGGCCAAAACATCCTATAAACCTCCACATAATTTGAATTGTGATTGATATTTAATGTATGAAATAATTAATAATCTATACAATATCTAATAGCCCGGAGTCCAGTGTATTCACACGTGAGCACTACACTCAATGGATTGGCCAGTATTAGGGCCTTTGGGGCGCAGGACGTGTTTGAGAGACAATTTTACATCTACCAAGATGATCACTCGGCCACCTGGATGCTCGTCACCACCGCTAGCTATGCGTTTGCTTTAATCATAGACGGACTGTGTTTTCTCTATACAGTCATTATATTCACTGTGTTTATGGTATTCCCCGAAAAGTTGGGCGCAGGTGAGACGGGACTGGCCTTAACATCAGGTTTGGTTACATAAAATATTGTACAATATGTATAATACTTTTAGCTTTGTCATTTGTAATTAACTATTCTAAAATCTTACCATTTTTCCTAATAATTTAAAACTATACTTATTTTACAATATAAATAATCGAGATTAAAACTTGTCCATAACAATAAATGACCAGGTAACACAATTAATTTATAAATAATTAAACAAACAAAATAGCCTTAACGTTGATGGGATTGACCGCATGGGGAGTCCGACTATCGGCCGAAGTGGAGAGTCAGATGACTTCAGTCGAGCGCATCATTGAGTACTCAAAACTACCGCAAGAGGCAGCCCTCACAGCTCATGACAGCCATAAACCCCCTCCCGATTGGCCACAGGCGGGACAGATAGAGCTCAAGGATATCAGTCTATACTACTCGGGATCAGACAAACCGGTGCTCAAGAACTTGACGTGTGTTATAAAAAGTGGAGAAAAGATAGGCATCTGCGGGCGGACGGGCGCCGGCAAGTCGTCCATCATATCAGCCCTGTTTCGTATGGTTGAGCCAAAGGGGGCGATAGTAATGGACGGCATTAACACGGGATCAATAGGTTTGCGTGACTTGCGCTCTGCCATCTCAATCATACCTCAGGATCCGGTGGTCTTCACGGGAAGTGTCCGAAAAAATTTGGACCCTTTCGGCGAATACAGCGACCAAAACATGTGGAGTTCCTTAGAGGACGTGCAGCTGAGGGGGCCGTTGGGGGACCTCCCGGGCCAGTTGGACGGCCTGTTGGCCGAAGGGGGCGCTAATCTGAGTGTAGGTCAGCGGCAGTTGGTATGTCTGGCGCGGGCTATACTGCGACACAATAGGGTACTAGTGTTGGACGAGGCGACCGCTAATGTTGACCATCAAACCGATGCCTTAATTCAGACCACAATTTGCCGCAAATTCAGTGACTGTACTGTCCTTACGATCGCTCACAGACTCAACACTATTATTAATTGCGATCGCGTTTTGGTCTGTATTTTACTTATAATTTATTAAATTTTCAATTATAAATAGTTATTAATTAATGTATTATTTGGTACTATAAGGTGTTAGACGCGGGAGAGATCGTAGAGTTTGACGAACCGTTTGTTTTATTGCAACGAAAGGGACAGTTGTATGACATGTGCCGCCAGACTGGGAAACATATGTTCAATCGTTTACTAAATATGGCTAAAGAATCACATTTTAAGAGATTTACTACCAGACAAGTCAACGACGAGGACAGGGATCGAGACAGCAGTCTTAGTGATGAAATATACGACACAAAAATGTAATTATAAATTACATAGCTTAGTTTTAGTATGTTTTTAATTGTTTATAATTAAGTAATTATTCAATTAATTGGTTAAATGATAGACTTAAAAACATAATAGACAGTTTTATATAACTGAGCTAACTTATCTTTGTATTAAATTCATGCAATTTATTGCATATGGTAATAATCGCATTCTGTGATTCATTAAAACTATAATTAATTGTTTGTTAAATACATTATTATTAAAATAATCACTAAATATATTATAAATCAATTTATATATTGTACATAATCGTTTATTTCTTATTTAATGTTTGATCTTATTAATACAGTCATATTAATAAATCCCCTTTTACTTTATAATATAAGGGGTTTCAATAAAATTTGGCCGTCGGATATTGGCGATTACTCAGGAACCGTTGAAGTGACACTAGTGTTACTTTACACATATATAGAAATATGTCGGGAAAATTTTTTAACATTAAAATTTTTTCAGTCACGTGACTATTTTTTAAGAAAATAGTAGCATTCCAAAATCACTAGTGCTGTGCAGCCTGTGCTTAGTATAGGGAGGGGTGGGGGTATGAGGTGGGTAAAGGATATGTCACAGTGTTAAACAAAAGTAGAACCATCATGATTGAATTGCAGGTTTTCATATAGTAAATTGATAAAAATGACCTATTTTTGCATGTTAACCTATGGAAGTAAAAAATAAAATTAGAATTATATACAATAGATTATATTTTTTAAAACTACAATCAATGCTGATAATGTTAGCACAAAAAAGTTTTAAAAAATTTCATTCCAAATACAAAATATTGTAAATTGAAATTTTTGGTTTTTATCTTTTTATGGCTAAAACTTGTGGAATTATCGATATTTCAATTTACGATATTTTGTCTTTGGAATGAAATTTTTCCCATAGGTTAACATGTAAAAATAGGTCATTTTTATCAATTTACTACATAAAAATCTGCAATTCAATCATGATAGTTCTAAGTTTGTTTAACACTGTGACATCTCCTTTACCCACCCTATACCCCCACCCCTCCCTATACTAAGCACAGGCTGCACAGCACTAGTGATTTCGGAATGCTACTATTTTCTCAAAAAATAGTCACGTGACTGAAAATTTTTTTATATCAAAAAATTTTCCCGACATAGCTCTATATATGTGTGAAGTAACACTAATGTCACTTCAACGGTTCCCGAGTAATCGCCAATATCCGACGGCCAAATTTTATTGAAACCTCTTATATAAAGTTGCACCAAAGTTGCACTATCGCGGTTGAATTATATTTCCAGTTAAATTGTTTATAACCTGGTTTAGGCACATTTGTATCTAATGTACAACATGAAAACGACATTTACCCTTGTCTAATAGATTTATTTCAAAGCAAGTATACAGCAATACAATAAAAATAACCATTTTAATATTTGCCCTTAAAATGAATAGATTTTGAATAATACAAATTATTTATTAAATAAACTTAAAAAACACTTTAAACATGTTTAAACAATAACAAATTTATTAAATTCACATTACAAATTACTTGGCTACAAGTCTTTATAATCGCATTTCATTACAAAACACAATTGTGTAAATTATTGTATACACCGTGTATAGATTTATCAGTTTAATGCTTTTAATATCCATAATAGATAAATTGCTGTTTGTACAAATATTTTTTACTAATAAAATTATAATATTGTTATATTTATGGTTATATAAAATGTTTATTATCTATAAGTTATCACATTAAGTTATATAAAATTGTATGAGATAAAATTAAATTTATTAATAAGATTAATATTTTATTATAATCCTTACAATGTCAAGCTGTTTGATGTCAATGAAAATAAATCACATTTAGTATATATCAATATATTGTCCAAATAAATTTATAAGTTTTTTTATTTTAAATTTTTATTCTGTTATTTTTTGTTTATTAATATAAAGTAAATAAAATAAATATATTGTGCATCAAACAAAATTGTTAATAACATGTTCACACATTTTATAATCACATATAAATTTAATTAATTTAATTCAATTACATTTTGTTGATATATGTTAACATTATGTTGTAGATATTTTACCAAATAATGTGGCTACAATTTTGTTGTAATTATATACACCATACCATATATAGATCATATAAACACATAATTAATGTAAATTAGAGCAAAATATTCATATTTTTGCAAAATATTTCATAACTTAACACAATGTCCAGTTGTACCCCTGCCCTGGAAACTGGACAAAACCATTAAAAACAAGACAATCCAGTCCAGAACTGGACGTCTGGCAACCCTACTTGTAAAGCATAAATAAAATACTAATAAATAAACCACGTTCATTATGACGTATATAAATATTATTATGTTAAATATATTGTGAGGGTTTTCATAAATACATTTAATTTACATTTAATTATATTTACAATTTACTAATCATACTTACATTTGTATAACGTAGTTTATGGCTTGTACTCATACTTTTGCTTACCTTTTTATACACGTTGTTTGTGTACACTCTTGCCTTCAAAACCATAACAATAAAGTCATTCAGTTTTTGTCTATCAAACCGTTTAATCACACATTTTTTCACTGCTATTTCTCACCGCAGGGAATGCTTTTTACTGAGCACTACCGCCGGTCTCTTACTTTCTTTCTGTCCACTCTTCACCACCAATTGATCCATACCTTGTCTTTGCGTTGAGTCCAGTCGCGCGAGTTGTGTCCACCAATTGATCCATTGTCTTCTGGGAGGTAACACATTGACTCCCATTCACTCACAACACGTGGTTTTGAGCCACTTGTCCGCCATCTTTGTCTCCATTGAGCCACTCATTCAGCGCTCATTGTTGTCATCCATTGTCTCCTCCATTGTCTTCTTGTCGTCTTCATCGACGGTAAACCTGACTTCACAGTTGGGAACCGTTCGTACGGGTCGTCACGACACAAGATTCGTCACATTTGGCGCAGTCTCGGTAGCATCAGATCCACGCTTCCTCCACATCACTCCAACACATTCAAGACATTGTCAACAGTGAGTCACCACTAGCAGCCCTCCCGCCATAGACACCACTCGCCCTCGTCTCACACCACTCGCCCTCTTCTTCACACAGTGTCCGACAAGACGACCACTTGTACGCTCGCAGAGCCTGATTACGGCGACCAAGACCTCAGCGACCGACGCAACGACAACTATCGGCTCGCTTTCGGGAAACTCGCCCCGAAAGAGACTGTTTCCGACACATTAGCGGACAGCTCATTGCCTGATCTCTTCTCTTTTCGCTATCGCCACGGCTTCAAAGTCAAACCAGCGTCAGACAAGAGTTCCGCCGCAACCACAACAACAGCAACCGTAGAGCAACCGGTATCTGCAGACTAGACACCGCTAACCAAAACCAAACGGCGAAACTTGAATTGAAAGTTGAAGCGAAAGGCCGACCAATCACAAGAACTGCTCTCCGGCGAAAGCAGCAAATCCAGAGCAACACATCTCGAAGGCAAAGCTCGTCGTCTTCAGAACAAAAGCGACAAACAGTGGGCCGAAGGCCTCAAAGCTTCGACCACAGCCTCTGAACAGACGTCCGCCTATACCGCCAAAGACAATAGCTCGACGGCTGACCGACATTTCGCGGCCGACAACTCAACCGAACGGCAAAAAGCTCGTGATCTCATTGCGTCCTCACAAACAGCAGCAGTTTTTGCCGAGCGATACCGACGAGTGGCCAAAGCAGGTGTCCGCGACGACGTCCCGGCAGTCGAAAGGCCATCAAATCTAACACCAAATACTTTCAAACATTAATTCATTGTTTCAATAAAATACTGTTTTATTTATAAGTCAAAACTTGTTTATATTTTGACAAACATTTTTATAAACAATACATTATAAATACATATTGGTGTACAATAATGCCGACACGACCAGCACTTCATCCGTTGTCTCCTATTTTCACACTCCTCAGCATTTTTCGGCCATTCTTCGGTGTGAATCCACACAACACCATCAATGCCTCAACTAAACGCAAACCCACCCCCGGCTTCTACTTCAAGCGCGTCATCGACTGTCACTATTAGTGGTAACGGCAATAATCATCAGTTCAGACCTAAGATTCCTAAGTTTACTAGCAAAACAGATGGAGGCATAACCATCGAAGAATTCATAAGAATCTTTGAGTTCACTTTTGCGGCCGATCACACAGATGACCAACTCTCCCGTAAAGTCCTTGAGTTTCTGGACAGCGACGCCGCTGACTATTACGGCACAGAGATTCTGCTCTCCAACGACACCTCTTGGCCTAATATCAAAGAGCTGTTGATCTCACGCTATGGTCACAGCGATGTAGACCCAATCATTTCCGCCAGCCGTAGATACTTCAAAAGACCGGAAAGCATACGCGAGTATTTCGACGCGAAGATGACTATACTTCGCCGTGCGACAGGACTCGACGACTACCACAAGACCGCAATGTTAACAGACGGTCTTCCCGAGCTATATCGAGACAAGTTTATGGGCTTGAGACTCAAACCAACCGAATGGTTACAGAAGGCTTAGGACATTGAGGCAGATATGCTTCGCCGTGAGCGTCAACGCACACAAAACTCCGGAACTATCGCAACAACAATTCCCGACCAAACAATTTAAACAACAGAACGTTTGCCGCAAGCGTTGACAACAATCAATCCGGACCACCTCCATGCCGGTTCTGCCAACAGAGAGGTGTGACCGCACACCACTGGCATAACGAGTGCCAACACAGACCTGAAAGTTATACTAATCGGTTCGCAAACAACAACAGATCCAACGGTCAAAACAATCGCGTACGAGGCTAACACAACAGACAAACTAATCAAAACAACTCATCTCTTGTTGAATCCACTCCATCGACCTCTTCCACGCCGTTCGCCAACACCGCTGTCGTTACTTTAAACTAACGCAGCGGCCAATAGTTCAATTCATTAACTTTGTTGTCAGCATCAACTCTATCATAACCAATGCATTCATAGACACCGGGTTTACAATCAATGTCATGTCATTATCATTCGCCCGCAAACTGTGTCTTCATGTACTTCCCGACTTATCCATATCTGAACAACAAGTTGATGGCTGTACACAAACTATTGGTCGCGTAAGCGTTTCATTATCTATCCGCAACACAACATTTGATACCATTTTTCATGTCATTGCTCGCTTTCGTTATCCATTGCTTCTCGGTCTAGACGTTAGACAGCGTTTTAAGTTAAAAATAGACTTAGAGACACGCAAAGTCCATATGCCTATCAGTCCAGCAATCAGTGGTAACACAACTCTTCATGTCTCATCACTCGAAAGCGCTGCACTCAATCAGATACTAAATAAACATTCAAAAGCATTCTCTGACACAGAGATCGGACGAATCAAGGTCCTAAAGCATACAATCACTACAACACCACATCCACCCATTCAACTCCGCCCGTACCGTAGACCACAACACGAGTACGACGAGATCAGCCGTCAAGTCCAGGACCTCAAAGCCAAACACTGCATACAAGACAGCAAAAGTCCGTGGGCTTTCCCCGTAACTCTTGTTCCCAAGAATCACGGCACAAAGAGATTCACAATTGATTACCGACGGCTCAATTCTATAACCATCGATGATAAAATGCCTTTTCCTCGCATTAATGAAGTGTTAGACCGCCTTCAGGGCGCTCGGTATTTCACAACACGTGATATTGCGTGGGGGTATTATCATATTAAGATGGACCCGAACTCAATACCATTGACCGCATTTGTCACAAACGAAGGCCACTACGAGTGGGTCGTAATGCCAATGGGTCTCAAGAACTCCGGCGCAACATTCCAGCGCATAATTCAACAAATACTCGGTAAACATTTATATAACGGAGTCATCAATTATTTGGACGACTTTATAATATATTCTAAGACATATGAAGAGCACCTCCAACTCTTGGACACCATTCTTGAGCTGCTCTCAAATCACAACATAAAGCTTAAGAAAAGCAAATGTCATTTTGCTCAGTCAGAGGTTGAATATCTCGGGCATGTCGTTTCTCATAACACAGTCAAACCATCACCGAGAAAGATAGCTGCGGTAACCGAATTCCCAATACCTGACACTCTCCGCAAAGTCAGAGAATTCCTGGGATTGACCGGCTTTTACCGCACTTTCATTAATCTCTTGCCAATCATTGCTTGTCCTTTTTCTAAGTTAACCCGAAAGGACACGCCATTCATTTGGGGGCCCGACCAACAGAAAGCATTTGAGACACTTCGTGACGCCATCACTCGACCACCAGTTCTCGCACTGTTTGATCCAAACCATACCATCCATAAGTGAAAACAATGACATCTATGAAGAATTATTTTATGATGATAAGTTGGCGAATGAAACTAATTATACGCGCTCTATGTAAATTATTAATTAACATTTTTTATTAAATTAATTAAAAACTTATTTTAATTATACAGGAGCACTATCTCGATAAAATATAATAGCTTAATAAAGAGACAACTTAATAATTAATGAATATTTTATAACGGTTAGTAACATAATTATTTTCCCGTACTTTTAATGCCAAGTTAAAACATATAAAGTAGTTATTTAATGTTATATAAGGATTTAAGATATAAAGTATAATTTATAAATTTATACCAAATTTATACTTTATATAAACTAATACTTTTAATATACCGTATTATAAAATTTAAAAGATATGTTTATAAAATAGTAAGTTACAAAATTAAACTGAAAAATGTTACATCAAAAATGTGATCATAAAATATATCTAACAATAAATAAAATTCAATTAATTCATACAGAGTTGTAATTTAAAATTAATTAAAAAAAACAAATATTGATAACAATTATATAAATAAAAATATTTAAAAAATAAAATCAAACAAAACACAAACGACTTATTCATTGAGACAAACAGTGCGGACGAGGGCTTCGGTTACGGTATAGGGATCGCAATTAGATGCCGGACGCCGGTCCTCCAGATAGCCCTTACCGGCCATCTCTACCCGTTTGGGTATACGAACACTGACCGCCCGGTCGCCCACAGCCGACGTAAACTTATTTATATCGCTGGCCCACATTTGGCCGGTTAGTCGGCGCTGGTTGTCAGCCCTACCTCTCGGGTCGTATAGAGCCATATGTTTGTCATGATTTTGTCTCAAGGCCTTAATAGCCCGGTTAATCTCTGCCAACCCTCCCTCCCGGCGCATGGCCTCAGTGCTGAAGTTCATGTGCGCCCCGTTGCCCATCCATGTGGGCACTGGTTTCGGGTCAAAGGTCACCCCAATGTGCAGGTCTTCGGCCACCCGTAACAGTATATACCGAGACATTATCAGATCGTCGCCCAGTTGTATGCCTTCGCACGTACCCACCTGTCGTTGAAAATGATCATTATTAAGTTTTAGTTTATAAGTGATCAATGTAATCTAATTTTTACATAATATAAAATGATAAATAGTATAATTATTAAAATAATAGTTTTTAATTATTAGTTATTAATTATTGAGTTTACAGAAATTTAACAATTATCTAGTTTAATTTTATTGTTTGAGTAAATGAAAACAGTACCTGGTACTCCCACTGCGATGGCTGACCCTCGGCATTCTCACCGGTAATATTAACGCCAGCGTACAGACAGGCCCTGAAGTGGGCCTCCATAACATCTCTACCATACTGATTATTAGCGCCCACACCACTATGGTAAAATATATGCGGTGTCGTCAGGGGCTCCGGATAGCCGTTTACAGGCCAGCCCAGTGGCCGTTTCCTATCATTACCATCCATAAGCATATACTCCTGCTCTACACCAAACCAGGGGTGCTGTTTGGCCACCGCCTCCATGGCCTCCAGACAACTGTACCGGTGATTACATGGAAAGGGTTTCATATCGGTGTCCAGTATATTACATAAAGCCAGCCTATTGTTGCCGCCCCTGAATGGGTCGTTGTATAGTCGCACCGGACGTAGGAGTATCTCTGTCTCCGATGATTGCATAATCCCAGTGTCCCATAGGGGTAATTCATCCGGGTGTTTAGGCACAAAGTCGACCACTTTCGTTTTGCCACAATAATGCGCTAGGTTGTCGCTGCCAGGGTGCAGATATATGTATGTTACCTGGATCTTGTCGGCCGGTTGCTCCAGTGCCATATATCTGGCCATAAATGCGCTGTTTGATGCTAATGGTGTTGGTGTGGTGGTCATGGTGATTTATATTTTTTTACAATTCAAATGTAGTTAATATTTTTAATAATACTTTTATTAATGAATATTTATTTAGTTGTGTTTTTCGTAAAATTTTTAACACATTTCAATCAAACATTTATATAGATTTAGCTGTTGTAAAAACTTTTTGAAATAAAAACAAAACATGCTGGTTTACGTAGGATGTAATATAATGAATCATGCATTATTAATGATTTACGGAACCAGGCACTTAATTAAATATAAATTACTGTTAATGAGGCAAATAATTTCAGAACGCACATGATATAAGTCTTGTAATATTATTATACCTGTTTTCAATCTACCTTAATTCACTTCATAGTGTTAAATGACAAACTTATATCACTTTTGCTTATTTTTAACACTAAAACTACACTTAAAAACATCAAATGATATTGAAAAGTTTGGTTTGTAAATATTGTTGGGTTCCTCCTATTGTTAATCGACCCTCAGCTGTCTAGTTAATGAATTGGTTAAGGGCAAGGCTAACATTTTATTAACAAGGTCGTACCTACACTTGTTAGCATATTTTGCTGTATCCTAATTAATCATAGATAAATTTCAACTTAAAAGCTTGGTGAAAATGTTAAACAATTTTTTACCCAGTAGGAGAATGTATTGATTAATATAATTTAATTATTGTGTATCAACTATTGTATTAATATTATTTAAAATACCATTTTAAAAGGTTTTTGATTGAAACCACAAATAAATTATTACAATATTAAGTAACATCAATAAAAATTCTTTTAAACCAGCTTTGTTAATTAGCATAAAAGTGCTATTTTATATAAAATTCCACATAAAAGTAAAATAAAAATTTTTATTTAATACTAAAAGCTAATAATTTAAAAGTAACTATAATCTAAGTGCAGATCATGGTCGTATGTACAAGATAATATTGAAGTAATATGCAAAAAACCACTAGATGTAAATACAATAAATTTTTAACAAAAATTATATAAGTTATATAATATAACACTTAAACATAATTATGATGATGAAAGTTCTTTTATGCATAATATTTTATAATTTGTATTATTCCTATTATGATAATATATAAATAATTTATTCTTTAATGAATTATTTAAAGTAATTTATTTTGCAAAGTTATTATTAACTTAATAAACCAAGTTTTTACTATACAAGACAGTAAATAACATGTACTGTACATTTTTTATTTACAGTATATTAAGTGAAAATTTCAGATATATCGGAACAACCTTGATGGCACATTTTTAATTTTGTAAATACTTCATTAGATAATAACTGAAATGTTTTAACAACTGATAATTTAAAGCACTTTAAAACCATTTCATTAATTTTAAACTTATTTTATAGTGCACGAATGTTTATAATTAAAATCGTGTTTTTAAAATTGCCCATTCTGTTAACTAGCAATAATTAAATATTACATTATGAAATAAAATATACGATTATGGTTAACAATTATGTGTTTGTTTTATTTACAAAATTAAATGGCTCTAAATCAATTAAAAATAGTTTTATTAAATATTCTTTAATTATTTATTTTAAAAAATTATGCAATTTTTTTAATTACAAATATGATAAAATAAATTGCTACAATAACAATATTCAGCATGAATAAAAATTTTATTATAACAAAGAATAAAATGTGTAAATATAATACATATTAAAATATAATATTTTTAAATCAATATGTTTTTAATAATACAATAACTATTTTTGAATTATTATAATAATCATTCTTGTATTATTATGAAATGTAAATATTATTGTGCTTAAAAATTGTTTAATTTAATTCTCTCTCTCTCTCTCTGCGACATTTATTATATTTACATTATAGTAAAATATGTATATAAAATATTTCTAGAGTAATTTAGTACCGTAATATTTTATCCAAAATTAAAAACATGTTATTCATCAATTAATATATTCGCATTATTTACACTTTTAATTTGTCATTTTACTTTACATCTAAAACTTTAAAATCTAACAATCTAAAATTTAAATATGTTGTGCAAATCATATTGATTTTTTAAAATATAAGTTTTAAAATAGCTAATAATGCATATTATTACTAACCAAACGTTGCGACTTGCTATTAACCATGTATAAGAATTATTATTTTTAAGATAATTAAAATTAAAAATATAATTATTATCAATATAGGATCCCCCATTTACGTTCATAAAATATGACCCTGATACAAATATTTATAAATTGAGTGGCGGCCTTGTTGTTCCTTTATTAGAGACTATTACTAAACAATTAAATCTGACTTTTGATTTAGTTTATTGCAATCAGGATTGGGGCACATTTCCAGTTAACGGAACATGGACAGGTATAATGGGAAAGTTAACAAACAAGGTAAAGTTAATGAATTAATTCTTACAATATATTACAATTATAATTAATGTAATAATGTAGCAGGCAGATTTAACAACGATGCTGTATATGTATAGCGAGCGATATGATTCAATTGACTTCACTTTCCCCTATTATTATTTGGAAATGTCATTTACGTCTCCGTTGCCAACGATCACCCGTTTTAACAATTTATTGCAACCCTTTGACAGTTATATATGGCTATCAATCATTGCTATGATTGGGCTAATTATGACAACTTTAATTACTTTTAGCAATTTATTTAATAAATATTATAACAATTTCGTTACTCTATGTTGGACTGTACTTTCAATTTACCTGCGTCAAAATGCTGGCAAGCACATATTTGATAAATATCCTGTTAATCTAGTATTATTCTTATGGATATTAATGGTCAACATATTAAACATGTCGTATTCGGGTGTAATTTATTCGCTTATTGCGGTTCCCATAGAGAATCGCATTGAAACTATTAATGAACTGATCGGGAGTCAAATGGCCGGTGAAATAAAGATTGTGGTGGGAAATGGTTCTGTTGAACACCAAATAATTCTGGTTAGTTAAGGCTCAGTACTCACGAGTCAGTTAACGACTGTTTATCAATATATGGAGAGAGAGAGAGAGTTTTTACTAATTGTATAAAGTAATGTAATAATCCGGATATTTTTATAGCATTAAAGTGATTGATTGGTGCATTTTTAGGATGGACTAAATAAAACATATGGAAATTCAATAACAAATTATATTCCTGTTCCTAACAATATGAAGTATGACTATTTAAAATTGACCAATTCCAAATACACTTTAATTGAAGATAGGACAGCTTTGGTTTATTATCTCATAACAAACAACATCACTGAACATTATTTATCAAATACTCTTGATAACAATAAATTAGCCGTAATACTCGGTTCACTTGGTATGCCAAAGAATTCTAAATATTTAAGGTCATTTAATAATATGTATGTATAATACATCATTATAAACATGCTAAATTTTATTATATTAAATTATGTTAAATTTATATACTTTACATAGTATTATGCGTATCGTGGAAGCAAACCTATATAATTACTGGATAGACACATACTTCACCAAGATAGATTATTATTCAATTTATAATTATGATCATATGAAATCTAATCGATATAATAATTTAGATTATTTAAGCGTAAGATTTTTATTTGAAATGTATTTATTTAGTGTAATTGCAATGATTATTACATTAATATTAGAATTTTTTGTAAAATATTTCTTTTAATAATTATTATTTCAGTAAAAATACTTTTGTATAAAGTTAGTATTATTATTTTTTTTATTATTGTCACACAAATTATTTTTTAACTAATAGTTTGATGTAAATAATTAAATAAAAATGACAACAAGTTTTTCATTTTGATAATTATACGGCACTATAAACAAATATATTGAACTGATCGAGATCAAAATCAATTTGCGTTTTGGAGGTAACATAATTGCCGTAACTATTTCCCATCGATACCACGCACTGCCAATCCATGCCTTTATATATTAAATCCATTTGCTTAACAATATTACGGGCGATGCCATACATAGTGGTCGACCGGGCGATGGCCGCAAACGTGATCGCTTTGACCGACTCCACCATATTTGCCGACATTGTATGTTCACCAATAATATTTATACCATGGCCAATTTTGTTACACTGAAGTCGGGCCTTTAAATTTTGAACATTAACCTAGATTAAATATTCATGTTAAATGAAAACAATGTCATTTAAAATTGTATACTGTATGCTAAGTACAGAATACCCAGGTTTTGTTACAACTCACTGTATCCGTGCGATATAACAACAGTGTGATGGGGCCAATTTTAACCATCATTAAATAACTCCCACTAGTCGTACAGTGAGCCTGGCCCGCTTTACTATCATGTGCCATACAGTGCCAACTGGTGCCGTACTCCAGGTCCATCTCAGCGCACACATGTTTGCACACGTGGTATAAACTATGTTGTTTGGCCAACACATCGCGGACTATTGCCAACGTTGTTGAGGTCATATCGGCGTTTATATTGTTTTCCAACACATCCGATGCGGTGGCCGACAGGTGTCGCTGACACTCGGCCAGTAATTGATGCTGGTTTAAATAGACCTGGCCACTTTCCAACGCTCGTTTTAATGTTTGTTTTAACGCGTCGATCTCTACCTCGTATGATTGCAATGCGGCCAAACAATCGTGACCCGGTGTCAACTCTACGTGGCCATCTGGGCGCGCTAGAGAATCGACCTGGTCCAATTGCTTTTTCAACTCGCTATTTTTGGCCAATAGGGCACTGATACAGTCGTGTCCCGGTGTGCGTTCGCAGTGACATTTAGGACATGTGTCGCACGCATAGCGACAGTTGGCTGTATGTTTAGGTAATTCATCGAGTTTGATCACTTCATGGCACCCGTGGTCCCAATATGTGCACTGTATTTTAAATCTACTCAACGTGATCAACATCGCTCTGTGGCTTGGTAGAAATAAATTAATTATTGTACAGTAAGTAATAATCAAGTGTATAATTTATTAAAATAAATACAAGCTTATTTATAATAAATAAACATTTCATAGTCTTGTTTAGTACAAAGCAAGCAGCATGCAATAATTATATAATTTTTGTGAGTGGAGGTGGGGCAAAGTTATCTCATA